CACCAAAGTATATAAAGCAACTACTAACAAACCTAAAAGGAGATATTAACAACAACACAATAATAGTAGGGGATCTTAACACCCCACTTAAATCAATGGATAGATCATTCAGACAGAAAGTTAATGAGGAAATAGTGGCCTTTAGTGAAAAACGAGATGGACTTAATAGATATATATAGAGCACTCCATCTGAACACAGCAGATTATACATTCTTCTCAAGTGCACATGGAACATTCTCAAGAATAGACCACATGTAGGGAAACAAGGCATGCTTATATAAATCTAAGAAGATTGAAATCATAACAAGCATCATTTCCAACCATAACACCATGAAGTTAGAAATCAACTACAACAAAAAAAACTGGGAAAGTGACAAAGATGTGGAGACTCAACAATATGCTACTAAACAACCAATGGATCATCGATGAAATTAAAGGATAAATCAGATCATATCTGGAGACAAATGAAAATGAAAACTGTACCAATCATTTGGGATGCAGCAAAAGTGGTCCTAAGAAGGAAACTCACAGCAATACAGGCCCACCTTAACAAACAAGAAAAAGCCCAAACTACGCCTACAGAATTAGAAAAAGAAGAAGAAACAAAGCCCAAAGTCAGCAGAAGGAGGGAAATAATAAAAATCAGAGCAGAAATAAATGAAATCAAAATAGAAAAAAAACAGTAGAAAATATCAATGAAACAAAGAGCTGTTTTGTTGAGAAGATAAACAAAATGGATAAACCCTTAGCCAGACTCACCAAGACAAAAAGAGAGAAGGCTCAAATAAATAAAATTAGAAACGAAAAAGGAGAAATTACAATGGATTTAATTGAAATCTGTTGTGGATTTTAATTGAAATCCACAGAAATACAAAAGATTATAAGAGAATGCTATGAAAAACTATATGCCAACGAATTGGACAAGATTGAAGAAATAGATAATTTCTTAGACTCTTACAGCCTCCCAAAACGGAATCGAGAAGAAATAGAGAATCTGAATAGACCAACCACAAGTAAAGAGATTAAAACAGTAATCAAAAACCTCCCAAAAAATAAAAGTCCAGGACCAGATGGCTTCTCTGCAGAATTTTACCAAACATTCAAAGAAGATTTAATGCCTATCCTTCTCAAACTATTCCAAAAAATAGAGGAAGATGGAACTCTTCCCAACACATTCTATGAGGCCAACATCACCCTGATACCAAAGCCAGACAAGGACAATACTAAGAAGGAAAACTACAGACCAATATCCTTGATGAACATAGATGCAAAAATCCTCAACAAAATATTGGCAAACCGAATACAGCAATACATTAAAAAGATCATACACCGTGATCAAGTGGGATTCATACCAGGGACACAGGGATGGTTCAACATTTGCAAATCAATCAATGTGATACACCATATTAACAAAATGAGGAATAAAAACCATATGATCTTCTCAATAGATGCAGAGAAGGCATTTGACAAGATCCAACATCCATTTATGATAAAAGCTCTCAACAAAATGGGTATAGAAGGAAAGTACCTTAACATAATAAAGGCCATATATGACAAACTCACAGCCAACATCATACTCAATGGGGAAAAACTGAAAGCCATCCCTCTGAAAACAGGAACAAGGCAAGGGTGCCCACTCATGCCACTCTATTCAACACAGCATTGGAGGTGCTGGCCAGAGCAATTAGGCAAGAAAAGAGAATAAAAGGAATCCAAATAGGTAACGAAGAAGTGAAACTCTTGCTGTTTGAAGATGACATGATCTTATATACAGAAAACCCTAAAGAATCCATTGGAAAACTATTAGAAATAATCAACAACTACAGCAAAGTTGCAGGGTACAAAAATCAACTTATAGAAATCAGTTGCATTTCTATATGCCAATAATGAACTAACAGAAAGAGAATTCAAGAAGACAATCCCATTTACAAATGCAACAAAAAGAATAAAATATATAGTAATAAATCTAACCAAGGAGGTGAAAGATCTATACAATGAAAACTATAAGACATTATTGAGTGAAATCAGTGATGACACAAAAAAATGGAAAAATATTCCACGCACATGGATTGGAAGAATAAACATAGTTAAAATGTCCATACTACCTAAAGCCATCTACGGATTCAATGCAATCTCAGTCAGAATCCCAATGACATTCTTCATGGAAATAGAACAAAGAATGCTAAAATTCTTATGGGCAACAAAAGACCCCGAATAGCTAAAGCAATCCTGAGAAAAAACAACAAAGCTAGAGGCATCACAATCCCTGACTTCAAAATATACTACAAAGCAATAGTAATCAAAACAGCATGGTACTGGTACAAAAACAGACACACAGATTCAATGGAACAGAATTGAAAGGCCAGAAATAAAACCACACATCTGCAGGCAGCTAATCTTCAAAAGGAAACCAAGAACATACAAGGGAGAAAGGAAAGTTCCTTCCATAAATGGTGCTGGGAAAACTGGACAGCCACTTACAAAAGAGTGAAAGTAGACCATCTTCTTTCACCATACACAAAAATGAACTCAAAATGCATCAAAGACCTGAAGGTGAGACCTGAAAGTATAAAGCTCCTGGAGGAAAATATAGGCAGTACACTACTCGTCATAAGACATAAAGGGATCTTTTTCGAATTCCGTGTTTACTCAGACAAGGGAAACAAAAGGAAAAATAAGCAGGTGGGACTTCATCAGATTAAAGAGCTTCAACAAGGCAAATGATACCAGGATCAAAACGAATAGGCAACCCACCAGCAGGGAAAAAATATTCGCAAAACATATATCTGAGAAGGGATTAATCTCCATAATATATAAAGAATTCACACAACTGAACAACAAGAAAACAACCTGATCCAAAAATGGGCAGAAGAAATGAACAGACACTTCTCCAAAGAAGATATACAGATGGCCATAGGAACAGGAAAAGATGCTCAACATCACTAATCATCAGGGAAATGCAAATCAAACAACACTAAGAAATCACCTTGCACCCATTAGAATGGCTATAATCACCAAGACAAAAAACAATAAATGCTAGAGAGGCTGTGGAGAAATGGGAACCCTAATTCACTGCTGGTGGGAATGCAAACTGGTGAAGCCTCTATGGACAACAGTATGGAGATTCCTCAAAAAATTAAAAGTAGAAATACCCTATGATCCAGCTATCCCACTACTGGGAATCTATCCAACGAACCTGAAATCAGCAATCCAAAGAGGCTTATGCACCCCTATGTTCATTGCAGCATTATTCACTATAGCCGAGAAGTGAAAGCAACCCAAGTGTCCCTCGACTGATGACTGGATAAAGAAGATGGGGTATATACATACAATGGAATACTACTCAGCTGGAAAAAAAGACAAAATCGTCCAATTTGCAACAACATGGTTGGACCTGGAGAGTATTATGTTAAGCGAAATAAGCCAGAAAGAGAAAAACAAACACCACATCATTTCACTTATAAGTGGAAGATAAACTAACACATGGACAGAGAGAAATGTTTGGTGGTTACCAGGGGCAAAGGAACTGGGGGTGGGCACAAGGGGTGAGTGGATGCATTTATATAGTGACTGACAAGCAATACAATAAAAATTTCACTATAAAGAAAAAAAAAGAATATCCATAATGGGATGGAAAGTATAAAAAGGAACCAAGTAGAAATTCTGGAGTTGAAAATACAATAACTGAAATGAGGGTTCACTACAGGAACTCAAGAGCAGATTTGAGAAAAATCAGCAAACATGAGGACAGGCATCTCAGCTGATCCAGGCTGAGAAACAGAAACAAGGATGAAGAACATGAGCAGAGATTCAGAAACCTGTGGGGCACTCAGGGATACCACACACACGTAATGGGAGTCCTAGCAGAAGAAGAGAGAGAGATAAATGACTAGAAGCAATATTTGAAGAAATGTTGAAAACTGAATAATCACCAAATTTGATGAAAAACATTACTCTACACATCCAAGAAGTTCAGTGAGCTCCAAGTAGGATAAAATCAGAGACCTACACCTACACACATCATCAACAAAGTATCAAAGACAAAGAGAGAATTTTGAAAGCAGCAAGAAAGATGGGTGATACACCTCATCATGAACAAAGGATCCGTCCTCAATAACATTGACATCAGATTTCTAATCAGACACCACAGAGGCCAGAAAGCAGTGGGATGACAATATCCCTCAGGAAGTCACTGGAGGATGTCACAAGCTTGGGAAAGGGTATCCGGGCTCCAGCAATTGTCCAGTGGGTAAATGGGGAGTCCAGAGAAGAACCCTGGTACCCTTGACACCCCAATTTAAATTTGCCACAGCTACACCAGAGCCTAGGTATCTGGGCTGTGCTGTAAGCCAGATGAGGACCCTAAGTCCCACAGGGAGCAGCCTCCACCAGAAGAGGTCCCATCCAGGCATCCAGGAGCCTCGCTGAGAACCAGGCACTTGGTGCTGGGTCTGCCTGTGTGTGTCTGTGAGAATCTATGTGCCTTGTGCGCAAGTGTGAGTTTATGTGTTCATGTGAGTGTTGCCTGAGTGTGGGTGGCCTTGTGGTGTCTATATGTCTGTGTGGTGTTTCTGTGGGTGTGTGTGCTTGTGTGAGCATGAGGGTGAGAATCTGGGAATGGATTAGTGGTTTGTGTGTGATTATGTGTGTCTGTGTCTGTGCATGTCAGGTGTGCAATGTGAGGTGAAGGGGACAAATGGAGACCTCAGCCCCTTCTGTCTCCCTGACAACCCCTATACCCGTGATCTGCTTCATCACCAGGCAAGTGTCAATGACCTCCCAGGTGAAGGCCTCTCAAAAGAAGGCGGGTGATAAATGGGAGGGCAGGGATGTGTTCTGGGGTTGAGGTAGTGATCACATCAGGTAGCGTGAGCCTAATGTGACAGGTGGGTGGCAGGATCAAGTCCAAAGACCCCTACTTCTTCCTCAGAGCCTGCACCATGCTGGAGTCAGACTGGGGATGGGGCTTTCCCTTTTCTTCCTGCTCCCTCACCACCTGGGAGAAGCACCAGGAGAGTGGGGAGACACAGGTCTTCTGTTCCACCCCTGCGTGGACCTTCCCTGGCCTGTCCCTGCACCCTCTGGCAGCTCACTCATGTCAACAGGTTGGCTCAGGGCAGAGAGCAAAGGCCAGTCTCTGCTCCCTTTATAAAGAGGGTCCAGGCTGGTCGAGCCCTCAGGGTTGGTGACAGTGCCCTCCCTGGCCTGGTCCTAGGTCCTGGTGTGGTGAGGGGTGCCAGTGTGTCCAGAGGAGCCCAGTGCCCACTGAGGCAGCCATGGGGATGCTGACCGGGGAGACACTGGGGCCCATGGCCATGGCCATCTTCCTTTTCCTGGTGGACCTGATGCACCACCGCCAATGCTGGGCCCCACGCTACCCACCAGGCCCCATGTCCCTGCCTGGGCTGGGCAACCTGCTGCAGGTGGACTTCCTGGAGAGGCATTGTTGCTCTATTCGGGTGAGGAAGGTGGGGGTGGGCACAGAAGCCCTGGGGACCCCACCTAGCAGCAGACAGCTGGGGTGGTGAAGCCACAGGCTGGACAAGGAGCTGGGTGGAAAGGAGGAGGCAGATTTGAGAAGCCTCCTGGGGGAGGGCATCTGTGCAGGACTGGAGGACAGTTTGAATTTTCCAGCCAAAGGTCAGAGAGGACAAAGGCCTGGAGGGAGGTGGAATTTGGCAGTGGGTTTGGGAACCAGTGGGACAGAGCATAAGTTATGTGAGCCTGAATCCCTTCTGAGGATATCAGGTGGAAAGGTCTTGAGATTGGGGGAGAAGTGTCTGGTCATGAACCCCATTTACATCAGGAAATCGAGGTTGAGAAGGGACAGTGACCAGGTTCAAATATTTTGCTGCTGTGAGAACTTGAGCCTCACTGCTCACCTCTGTGAACCTCAGTTTCTTCATCTGTAAAATCAGATGCTAACTTGGCCTATTGAACAAGGTTGGTGACCTCTGCAAAGTCATAGCTTAGCAATCTGATGTAACGTGAGGTCCTTAGCCATAGAGAATATGACCCGTCCCATCACAAGGCCAGATAAAGCTCTTGCATCCGCACCTCTAGGGGCCCAGGGGTCCCCCAAAGCTAGCACCAGGAGACTGGGGCTGGCAGCCCTTCAGAGGCCAGGCTTGACCAATGAGCATCCTGGAGCCTCGGCCTGCAGCTCTGGCCCGGCTTCTGGGACCTGTTCAGCCCGCAGCTGGCCTGGATGCCCGTGGTCGTGCTCAACTGGCAGGCAGCCACCCGGGAGGCGCTGGTGTACCGCAGTGAAGACTTGCCTACTGCTCCTGGTTCCCACAGTTTGACTGGGGGCTGAACACAAGGCAAGCAGAGGAGGGGCAGACTGTGTCCGAACCTGGACTGGGCCCTCAGTGATGGAGAGAATAACTAGGGAATGGTGGGCTCAGGGCACGCAGGATGAAGCCTGTACAATGGTTGATGCAGGAGGAGTGTGGGCCTGTCACAGTGCCAGGCCTGTAGGGAAAGGGGGCAGGACTGTGTGGGCAATGACCCAGGTGGGTCAGGACCTGTCTGCTGTTGGAAAGGGAGGATCAAAGTGGGAGGGATTGGGGGCAGGGGAGGACAAGACGTGCATGGGGAGAGGGGGATTGGCTGGGGTTGGACCTGACCTAAGGAGTCAGGACTGTGAGAGCAGGGCAGGGGGTGGGGCCGGGACCCACATTGACACATCATTATCACCCAAAGTCCACAGTTTACATCAGGGTTCACTTTTGCTGTTGTATATTCTATGGGTTTGGGCAAATGTACACTGACATATATCCACCATTATAGGATCATACAGAGAAGTTTCACCGTCCTAAATATCCTCTGTGTCCCCCCAGCCCCCGGCAAACACTGATCTTTTTTGCATCTCTATAGTTTTGCCTTTTCCAGAATGTCATGTAGGTGGAATCGTACAGTATGTAGCCTTTTCTGATTGCTTTCTTTCACTAGGTAATAGGCATTTAAGGTCCATCCATGCCTTTTCATGGCTTGATAGCTCATTTCTTTTGAGCGCTGAAGAATGTTCCATTGTCGAGATGTACCACAGTTTATCCATTCACCTACTGAAAGGCCTCTTAGTTGCTTCTGAAGTTTGGCAATTATGAGCAAAGCTGCTGTGAACATCCCTGTGCAGGTTTTCTGTGGACATAAGTTCTCAGCTCCTTTGAGTCAATATCAAGGAGTGTGATTGCTGGATCATATGGTAAGAATGTTTAGTTTTGTAAGGAACCACCATACTGACTTCCAAAGTGGCTGTGCCATTTTGCATTCTCACCAGCAATGTATGAGACCTCCTGTTGCTCCACATCCTCGCCAGCATTCGTGGTTCCCAGTGTTCTGGATGTGACCATTCTCATAGGTGTGTAATGGAGATGTACATTTTTTTAAGAAATTTTAAATCTGGTCAAAAAACAACACACAACAAAATTTGCCAACGCAACCAGTGAGTGTACACATTCAGTCGTGTTAAGTATATTCATATTGTTGTGCAGCAGATCTCCAGAACTTTTTCACTTGCCAAGACTAAGCCCAGTACCCATAAACCATCCCTGGGAGGTGGGCCCTGTCCAGCTCCCTCTTCCCCTCTGTTCCCTCCTCGGCCGCGGCCTCCTGCGCCCCCCGGCGCCCGCCTGCGGAACTGCAGACGCGGCCGCCCTGCCGGGGCCTCCACCTGGATCCCAGCGCTGCGCTGG